TTCTAGGTCTAAAGACCTGCAAACTCTGTTCGATGCCAATTTTAAGCCAGTCCAGCAACTATTCTAGATTGTGAGTGTTGAGGTGTACCCTCATATAGGACTAGCCTTTAGCAAATGGACAAGGGTGAAACTGCTTTCACAAGGGATTACTAGATACCTTGTTACATAAGTGTATAAGAAGTACAATTGCTAGCATAATCTGAAGTTACAACAAAATGCTTAGTGAGCATGGAATGCTGACATTCTGTTTGGATCAACAATTTAAAAGCTGGACATTAGAAGGAGGTATGGAAACATATCATCTTGCAGCATTTTTTGCAGTTTTCTGCTAGTGCCTTGGAATTCCAGGTGATGGTCTCAACAAAGGAATTTTGTTGGTAACAGCCACAGAAGAACACTGTTACTTCAGTTGTTAAAAACAGAATGTTAGACTAGGTTGACCTCGGTATGACCTAGCAAAGCAATTCTTATATTCTTTGCTAATGCATTTTCAGGCAACCAATGAAACCACAAATGATAGAAATAACTTTTGAAAGCATGAAAACTTAAATAATTAGATTGTTCCAGTTTCTGTATACATCTTCACCAAGAGGCTGATGCCAGTTTGGGATGTACTAATAGGGGAACAATTTTCAAGATTAAATATGTGTTCCCTTCTACACAAAACATGGAAAACAGGTCTGGGCAATTTGAAAATGCACTTTCTTGATATTGTCAGACCACAACTCCTATTAGCCTTCATCATTTACTGTTCTGGCTAGAGCTAATGGGAGTTGCAGTCCAACAACATCTGAAAGAACATAAGTTCTTACCTGAGTCCATTTCAAACCAGCTTCAGGATGGGATACGTAGTTGAGACTGCCATGGTGGCCTTAGTTGATGATCTCCATCTGGGCATCGACAGGGGAAGTGTGACCCTGTTGGTGCTCTTGGACATCTCAGCAGCATTCGATACCATAGACCAGGGGTAGGCAACCTTTCCCCTTTAAGGGCCGAGGGACTTCAGCTCCCAGAATCCCAGGAGCTATTGGCCAACATGGGACTATTGGCAAACATGGCAGAGGCTTCTGGGAGCTGAAGTCCCTCGGCCCTTAAAGGGGAAATGTTGCCTACCCCTGCCATAGACCATGGTATCCTTCTGGAATGCCTGAGGGAGTTAGACATTGGGGGCACTGCACTCCAATGGCTCCGGTCCTACCTCTCAGGCAGATTCCAGATGGTGATGCTGGGGAATAGCTGTTCTTCCAAAAGAGAGCTGACATCTGGCATCCCACAGGGCGCCATTCTATCCCTATGCTGTTTAAAATTTACATGAAGCTGCTAGGTGAGATCATCCGGAGACATGGGGCACGGTGCTATCAGTATACTGATGACCCCCAAATCTACTTCTCCATGTCTCTGACTGTTGCAGTAACTAAAGATGGCATCTCTCCTCTGGATGCTTGCCTTGGGTCAGTAATGGGCTGGATGAGGGAAAACAAACTCAAGCTGAATCCAAAGAAAATGGAAGTACTCATGACAAGTACCCCAAGTCTGGGAAAGGAGCTTTGCCATCCAATCCTGGATGGGGTC